AGAGACGGGGTTTCACCATGTTGACCAGGATGGTCTCGATCTCTTGACCTCATGATCCACCCGCCTCAGCCTCCCAAAGTGCTGGGATTACAGGCGTGAGCCACCGCGCCCGGCCGACAAAAGTCTTAAAAGGAGAAAATACCTACTAACCAGAAGCAGCAAATAGTTTATTATCAACAATGTAGGAGAAAAAAAGTACAGTATTTTGTTCTTTTTGAATACAATTAGTTAAAACATAAAATAGAAAACTGTTTAAAGACCTAGGTTCAATGTTGATTTAGAATTAAAAACAACTTTAAAAACTCATTAACAGGCCAGGCACAGTGGATCATTCCTGTAATCTCAGCACTTGGGAGGTTGAGGTGGGCGGATCATTTGAGGTCAGGAGTTCAAGACCAGCCTGGCCAACATGGTGAAATCCCAACTCTACTAAAAATACAAAAATTAGCCAGGTGTGGTGGTGGGTGCCTGTAATCCCAGCTACTCCAGAGGGTGAGGCAGGAGAATCACTTGAACCCAGGAGGCGGAGGCTGCAGTGAGGACCACTGCTTTCCATCTAGCCTGGGCAACAGAGTGAGACTCTGGAGACTCTGTCTCAAAAAACAAAACCCAAAAAACCCACAAACCATTAACAGTGGCCGAGCATGGTGGCTCACACCTATAATCCCAGCACTTTGGGAGGGGAGGCAGGTAGATTCCATGAGACCAGGAGGTTGAGATCACCCTGGCTGACACGGCCAAATCCCGTCTGTACTAAAAATACAAAAATTAGCTAGGTCTGGTGACACAAGCTTATAATCCCAGCCACTCAGGAGGCTGAGACATGAGAATCACTCGAACCTGAAAGGCAGAGGTTACGTGAGCACCACGGCATTCCATCCAGCCAAGGCAACAGACCAAGACTATGTCTCAAAAAACAAACAAATAACCATTAACAAGACTAGGCTAAGAGTGACCTCTGTACTCTAATGAAGATCTAAAAAGCCAGTTTTCAACTATTGTATAATTAACTACATAAGAATCTCAGGTATTTCAGAATATCTATTTATAACTCAAACTGATATGCTAATTACATATCAATCCTGAGGCACTTTATTTAGCTATGTAGTTTGTCTAGTCTTAGTTACCACGTTTTTTAGTTTCTTCACTTAAAAGTACTTTTGCTTCCTATTATAAAATCAACACATGTACATTGTAAAAATTCAAAACTAAAAAATTAGTTTTTGAGACAGAGTCTCACTCTATGGCCCAGGATGGAGTGCAGTGGCGCCATCCTGACTCACTGCAACCACGGTCTCCTGGGTTCAACAGATTTCTCCTGCCTCAGCCTCTCAAGTAGCTGGGATTACAGGTGCCTGCCACCATGCCTGGCTAATTTTTTGCATTTTTCAGAACTCCTGACCTCAGGCAATCTGCCCGCCTTGGCCTCCCAAAGTGCTGGGATTACAGGCATGAGTCACCATGCATGGCCTGAAAGTAAAAATTTAAAAGCCCAAATCTCTCCACTCAGAGATAAGCAGACTTTGTACATTCATATAAATGCTTCAGAAATCCATGTGATTGTGTGTGCATACTTGTGTGTTTACAAAAATGGAACTAAAAATCGTTTGTATTATCTTAAACTTTCACATATTGTGACTATATTTCCATGACACTAATGGTATCCACAGTATGGATAATTAATCCCCTATTGTTTAACACTTAGGCATTACCTGTTTTTTGCAACTATAAACAATACTTCAATGAACATCCTTGTACATCCTTATATTCTTAGAAGAATTAAAATATCTTCTAATTCAGCTTTTCCAATAATTTAGCCTGTCTTGTTATTCCTAATTTCAAATAACATGGTGTTGATATTATAATTTTAATGAACATAACGTACTAATTCATCTTTTTGAATGAAAAATTCTTACCTTGCAATAATAGATTCAATTGGCATGATATCAGGCACATAGTGAGCCATGGGGGAAACAAAGTGTCCATCTAGGATCTTACAATCTGATTGCTCTTCAATCTAAAAGAAAATAAAAACCAAGGTGTATGCAAGAAAACTAAGATATTTTGGTCTATCATGGATGCTCTTCTAATAAAAAGTTATATTCAATTAAAGTCATGTTTTCAGCACCTACTATGTAAACTTTTTGTGCCATTGTACTTTATTTTTAATTATTTTGAGTGCATAATCATTGACTGTATTATAGGGTACACGTGATGTTTTGATATACGTATAAAAGGTAATGATCAAATCAGGGTAACTGGAGTATCCATCACCTGGAGCAGTTATCATTTCTTTGTATTAGGAACATTCCAATTCCACTCTTATTTCAAAATAAACAATAAATTGTTAATTATAGTGATACTATTATGCTACCAAAGACTAGATTTTATTGATTCTAACTGTACTTTTGCACGCATTAATCATCTCTACTCTATCTTCCCCTCCCTGCTACTCTTCTTAACCTCTGATAATCATCAATCAACTCTTCATCTCCATGAGTTTAATTTACATTTAGCTCCCAAGTATGAGTGAAAACACAGAAATTTGTCCTTCTGTGCCTGGCTTATTTCACTTAACACAATGTCCTTCAGTTCTATCCATGTTGTTGCAAATGACAGGATTTCATTCCTTTTTATGGTTGAATAATATTTCCTTGAATATCTGTACCACAATTTCTTAATCCATTCATCTGCTGATGAACACTTAGGTTGATTCCACATCTTGGCTGCTATGAATAGTGCTACAATAAACATGGGAATTCTGATATCTCTTTGATACAGTGATCTCCTTTCTCTTATATATACACCTAATGAGGGATTGCTGGTTCATATGGTAGTTCCAGTTTCAGCTTTTGAGGAAGTTCCACTGTTCTTCACAGTGGTTGTACTAACTTACATTCCCACCAACAATGTATGAGGTTTACTCTTTCTCTACATCCTCACCAGCATTCATTATTGCCTGTCTTTTGGATAATTTGAACTAGGGAAAGATGATATATAATTTTAATTTTGATTTGCATTTCTTTGATGATTAGTGATGCTGAGCATTTTTTCATCAACCATCAACATGGTTGGCCATGTGTATGTCTTCTTTGGAAAAATGTAAAATGTCTAGTCAGATCTTTTAACCATTTTAAAATCAGACTGTGATTTTTTCCCTATTATGTTATTTGAGTTCTTTATATATTCTGGTTCTTAATTCCCTGTCAGGTGAGTAGTTTGTAAACATTTTCTCCATCTCAACAGAAAAGACAGAAAGACAGAAAGAAAGACAGAGAGAGAGGGAAGGAAGGAAGGAAGGAAGGAAGGAAGGAAGGAAGGAAGGAAGGAAGGAAGGAAGGAAGGAAGGAAGGAAGGAAGGAGAAACGATTTCGAATTTCACTCTTGTTGCCCAGGCTGGAGTGCAATGGTGCCATCTCCATTCACCACAACCTCTGCCTCTAGGTTCAAGCCATTCTTCTACCTCAGCCTCCCAAGTAGCTGGGATTACAGGCATGCACCACCAAGCCTGGCTAATTTTGCATTTTTTTTTTTTTTTTAGTAGAGATAGGGTTTCTCCATGTTGGTCAGGCTGGCCTTGAACTCCTGACCTCGGGTGATCCAGCCGCCTTGGCCTCCAAAAGTGCTGGGATTACAGGTGTGAGCCAGTGTGCCTGGCCCACAAAAATGTTCTATAAATTTGAAATGAAAAATCCATACTGCACTTATATTTTAGTGTTTATTGTTGTTATACTCCAACATGTAATCTATTCTCGGACATATTTATGTCAAACCACAATTCCTGTAACTGTGTTTCTCTCATTTGAATACCTTATCAATGTGTACTGGATAATCACTTGAAACCAGATTCTGGCATCTCTCTCGATTTCCAATCATCTTTCTGAATTCAAAGAGTCTATTATGGGAAAGAAAACAAAAAGGAAAAAAATTCACCTTTTATATCACTTACTAGGCATATTATAATTGAGATTAACAGGAATTAAAAATTAGCAAATCCAGTTCATAAGCCATATTAAAATTTAATTTTGATCATTAAAGAAAGAGATTAGGCTGTTTTTCCCCCAAACTGGACCCTTTTTTTCTTTTTCAGAAAAATATGAGGCACAATATTCTTCAGAAAGTAATTAATATATATATATATAAGCCTTAAAATTAAAGGCACCAATCCTGAAATTCATTTTCTTTTTTTTTTTTTCTTCCCCGGAGACAGAGCCTTGGTCTGCCACCCAGGCTAGAGTGCAGAGGTGTGATCTCAGCTTACTACAGCCTCTGCCTCCTGGGCTCAAGCAATTCTCCTGCCTCAACCTCCCGAGTAGGCATGTGCCACCGGGCTTGGCTAATTTTTGTATTTTTAGTAGAGACAGGGTTTCACCATGTTGGCCAGGCTGGTCTTGAACTCCTGACTTCGTGATCCGCCCACCTCAGCCTCCCAAAGTGCTGGGATTACAGGCATCAGTCACAGTTCCTGGATGAAAATTCATTTTCTTAAGTCTAGATTTTCCCATGAGCTACAGTGTAATCCAGTTTTAGAGCCATTACAAACTCAGGTTACCCCAAAAGACTCAATCCTTGGAAACTACATACAACTCTAATCGGCTTAATAATTACTGAAGTCAAAAATATAGTCTGTGTTTCTGAGAGCTCTCTATTTAAAAAATCTGGGCTGGGCGCGGTGGCTCAAGCCTGTAATCCCAGCACTTTGGGAGGCCGAGGCGGGTGGATCACGAGGTCAAGAGATCGAGACCATCCTGGTCAACATGGTGAAACCCCGTCTCTACTAAAAA